CACCTGTCCAAGCTGCAACAACTTCATGTCAAGAGAAGTGACTTACGTGGCCCCACTGGTCGTGAAAAGGGTGCCGTCTGGTCCGGAAGGCGGGTTCGTGAAGGGGGTGGTGACTTACATGGTGATGGATGATTTGGTGGTGACTCCTATGTCGACAATCTCTAGTATTACTCTGCTTAATAAGTTCAATGTGAAGGAAGTTGGTGCTTTGGAGGAGAAGGTGGTCAGTGTGGGCATGGCCGAGGTTAGTATATTTAATTGATGTCTGATTATTTTCTGGCCTAATTGTATGTAAATAAATTAGTGAGTCATTTTGTCTGGTTTACCTTAGGCTGTCAAGTTGTTGAAGGCTTCACTGGAGACCAAGAATGTGCTCACGCATGTTTTCCTGCGCCGTTGAGTTGTTCATACTGGCACAGCCGGCGTTGGCTTCGACTGCTGCTAGGATTTTTATTTTATTTTTTTGTTGCGCAGTGTTTTAAATTAATATGGCTTAGCATTTGTCCCGACAGTATCTTCTGCACCGTTCCAAAATTTGGAGATCTTCGAAATTGAATCTACGTAACAAAACCTGTGTGAAGAAAGTGTCCGAATTTTCTGTTTGGTTTGGAGACTTTGGAGGTTTTTTATGGACCACTATCCAAACAATTATTAGTATGTTATTTGCATATGTTACTAAATCTATGCAAGTGTGAAAATAACAATGTACAAAGTGAACTGTAAAATAAAATACACTATGTTATAAACAAGTGAAATTTTACACTAGTAACATTTTTACCTTATCCTATCATTATCTATATCTATATCTATATCTATATCTATATCTATCTATCTATACTACTTTAAAAGGAGGAGCGTTTTTGTAAAAATTCATAATGCCTAAAAAAACCCTTACTTTAAAATAAATTTAATGGCAAATTAGTAATACACTAATACACATCATATTTTATTTATATTTTTAATTAAAAAATGAACTACCTAAAAAACTCTTACTTTCACATATTTTTAATGGAAAATTGGTAATATACTAATGTCATTATATCTTGTATTCTCCCTATATATAATTAAAAAAACATAACTTTTCTCAATTCAACATAAGCAAATCAATGAAAATAATATATTTTTAAAAATTTTATGAACAAAAAATTGACTCGACTATATTATTAATGAATTTATGAATTGTAAATATTTAATTAAAATTTTAATTAAAAAATTGTAATTAAATACAATATAATACAAGATATACAAATCTTTGATATATAATGAGGCAGATGATCGAAAAAAATCTATATTTTATATTATGTCTTTTTTGACAACTCTACAGTTAAGAACATGTGAAAGAACAAGATTATAAAGGGGGAAATTCTACTACAAGGCCTAACTTTTAGTAATTGTATTAATCTAGGGCCTGATTTTTTTACTTTTTCATTAGAAGACTTATATTTTAGGTTATTCTTACTTTAAGGCTTACATTTTAGTTAACTTTTCATTATAAGGCCCAACTAATTTTACTTTTTCATATAAATATGTAAAACAACTATTATGTGAATAAATTATTATTATTATTATTATTATTATTATTATTATTATTATTATTATTATTATTATTATTATTTTGTAATTTATATTTTTTAGTGAATTCAAAAAATATGTAATGGAAATAGTATTTATATTAGTAATATAAATATGTCATAAAACTAAAAAATAATATACATATATATATATATGCAATCTACAAAATATATCATTTTCAACAAGCATACATAGTATCAACTTTTGCTTCCAAAAAAAAACTTTAAATTAATTTTTATTAATTTTTTTGCT